GAATGTTTGTATGTCCATTGTAAGGGTAACAGGGATCCATGCAAATTTCATAGTTCTTTCACTCGAGGGGACGGAAATAAACTAGGAACTTTTAGCCAGTGCTTGGAGGTGTATGAGCCAAACTGAAATGTGCTCTTTCAAAAACAGCACTTGGTTTACACTCTGCGCAGTGTGTGTTCGGACAGCAAGGGATTCTGAAAACACGTGTACATGTATTTTACGTGTACATGACCCACAAAAGGGTGACTGAACGAGATTCAAGCACTATTTGTGTCTGCAAGTACCTCTTATTAGTGAAAATCAATGAAAATTGGGTCTATGAAATGATCTCCGTGAAAATGTGCTGTCTGCTTCCTGATGGACGGATGCTTATCCTTCCTCCACAGTGCAGCTGTTGCACGGTGAATTGTTTGGAAAAATTACCCGAGTGCCTTTCTGCCGGGAACAGATCAATGTGTGGAGACATAAATTCACGTTCCCAGAAGTATTGTTACAGTACACTAATAAACACCATCAGCACCTCTTTAGCCTTACCACATACAGGCAACTTTCTTGGAATTCTTGGCAGAAATTCTCAAAAATTCTCTTCTTTGCAACAACTAAAAAACACCCGACTACCTGGCTATTCCAAGATGCATTAAACTGTTCAATTTTAAAGGAGCGTCAGGTTACATGTACACACTCGTAAATTAGTAGCCATCAGACTTTACTTTCCTCCTTCCTCAATCCTTCAAAGTCTCTCCCAAACCTTCAAGTAGATTTTGAAAGATAAGGCAGGGCTAGGATTAAATAGGTCTCATTAATAATGAAGTAGATGTTGTCACTTTTCCGGAACAACATCACAGATATGCTGGTACATGTACAGACGGAGAAAAAAACTGTCACCTACTGTAAATGTGTCAAATCTAAAGTCTGACTGATTCCTGTTGATACACTCCTTTACTACCTAAAAATGGCTAGGACATTTCCTTTTCACATTCTGTGGTTATTCCAATTGCACAAAAATGGTTTTTGCTGTAATATATCCTGAGAGGAAAACCTAAAAAAAAAATGAAAAAAAAAAGGAATTAACAATTGCTTTGTCATACACGAGTACCATGCGGTAAGTGGTAATTGTTTTAACAAAGCTGGCCATGGCCATGATGTAATGATACATCCTCAAAACCACCAGTGCCAACTCATCGCCTGTTGAACTGACCGACAGACTGAACAAGACTCACTGACCAATCATTTGACTTAATATGTACATGTACGGCCAAACAACAGACCAACCAACAGACCAAGCCATACATGCAACTGTATGCATGGACTGACCAACCAATTACTAAATCAATGAACTACAACCAACAGACCAAGCTAACAAATACCAGCAAACCAGAAAAAATCAATGACACCCAAATACATACAGAACCAAAGTGGCCCACTCTCAAGTACTACCGGGGTACCAGTACATGTACTCAAAAACAATGACACTGTACAACATTGGGAGAATACCAGGTACATTTATTTCACTGACCTGAAATACAACCTGATCTAAACAATAAGCCTTTCGGAGTTAACTTTGACCAAGATCTGGTACACTGAGTTCTTTTTATTCACCTAAACATAACGATTTGAATTCCCCAGACTAAAGACACTATTGCTATACCTCGTGATTCGGGGCAAGCTTTTGCTTAGTTACATAAGAGACGCCTCGTTACAATACACTGTTCTCAATGGATAAGAAGGGCACAAAGGAACCAGTCCATTCCAGAGATGGTGGTCGCTATGCGAAAGCTTGCCCTGAATCATGAGGTATAACAACAGTGTCTTCAGTCTGGGGGAATGCAACTTGTTATGTTTATGTGCAAATCAGGTAACTCAGTGTGACACATTTTATTCAATTTTAACTTGCGAATGGCTTATTCCCTATGTATGCATATCCGTACCCAGATAATAATACATGTACATATGACCACATCTTCTCTTTTATGACAAACTCTCCGCATCAGACCACAAGATAAACACTGCAGAATCTGATCCCTTATTCTCTAGAGGAAGACCACAACCATGTCATGCTGCCCTCTATTGAGAGGAACTACGGAACATCTTGTACACGTGTCATTCACAGCTGTCCAGATAGTACATGTATATATATCGTAGTTTCCTTGTTATGTAAAGAAAAACAAAGACACAAAGCGATCCCCTACCATAATTAAAAAGGTATATTCTTGCCTAAGAACAGGAAAGCCAGTGGAGGTTTTCTGTACTTTCCTAAAATTTCAAAGAAATGTTGTGTTGGCATTTCTTGAACTTGCACTTTCTGTGGCTTCTACAGGTATTGTGCTTTAGCTCAACTTTTTCAAACAGTTTTGACAATTTGAAATAAACATGTGCGGTAGGCTATTTAACTGTAAACACACGGGTTCAGTTTCAACATTTTTGACGACACACACGGACAGGGTTCTACACATACCTCCACGAGCACAACAAAATTGTTTAACCACAAACTTTGTTCCTACATGTAAGGCTGTACACATACATGTATATTGTACATGTATATGCACTTTGTGAACCCACAGAGTATCCATGCGAACAGCAAGAGGATCAAGTCTATTTTGTTTCAAAAACAATTTCGTGTAAATCAGACAAGAGGCAGAGCATGATAAAATCTTCATGGTCTGTGATATGGTCTCTCATTACAAAAGCAAATACATTATACTGATTGTAAACAACACACATGTATATGCATGTATGCATGAACTGGTACCATACAGACATATACAGTGTACATGTACATGTACATAAATGTATTGTACAACTTCCTGGTTTAGGCATGTACAATGACTAACTTCTAGTGGCAGAAACATGGTTAGGTCATGAGTGGTGACCTCGTTAACCACTTTCGGAGGGTATTACATGTACATTTGGTACAAAAAATTTGACTTTCAAAAGAGGCAAGTCCACAGAGGGATATTTATGAAATATAGCCAAACCCTACAAATACTGACTCAACATTTCAACAGCATTTGTATGACATTTCCTGCCACAACCTCATAAAGTTATGGACACACCCACAAAGGGATATCTGCTGCCATGAAAGTGTGTCCATAGCAACAAAGGTAAAGTGCAATACACAGTATATAACAAATGGGAAATTGGCAGTTTTAACCCTAACAGTCCTCAGTCCTCCAACAGGTGAAGGATTGAGGAGGGTTAGGGTTAATGTAAATTGAAGTATTTTTGACATCTTAGCCGTCAGCCATGCCTGTGCACAGAAATAACTAGATTTTGTTTCACGACCTCCAGTGCAGAAACTGGTTAAAAGTCAAGGGCCGTATGATTCACTGAAGGCTAAAAGCTTTTTGAAAGGGCAAATGAGGCAATACAGACTGGCATACCGGTATTTGCCCATGGACTACCGCGAGGGGTTAACACATGAGGATTTTCTGTGTCAGTTACACAAAAGACGTCCAAATACACCATGACAATAAGCCAGTTCGGTATTCAAATAACGAGGTAATTCAGGAACAAAGCATGCAGGTGAGTCCCCTCATGACTACGCTGTGGATGGGGCAGATCTCGGATGCACTTTGTTTGGAGCATGAGCTCTTGGGATACTGATCTGGCTCATTTCTGTATGCAGCAACAGATAAAGTCTATCTCGTCCTTATGTGCTTGCCACTGTGTCTTTACATATTCAAAGCGTCAAATGATGGGTAGTCCATGGAGGTAGAATGTACATGTATATCAAGCCCGTAAGTATCCAGGGGCCGATTTCACTAAACTCATCTTAAACTCACGATCAATCGTTGACTTACGATACATCAAAGCGCTGTGATCAATCGTAGCTGTGACGGGTTCTATGGAGCATTTCACGAAACACATCGCACGCACGATGCGTTCTATTTTTGAATACGGGAAGATGTATTTGTTGGACGAGGATGAAACTAAAACTGGAACGGCTGTTCCACGTCCGTAGTGTAATGTTATGGCAACTGTAGTTGTTTGCACTAAATCCAACATGGCGACAAGGACGCGGACGCACTTAAATGATGGAAAATAATTGGACAGCTGTTACTTAGATGGGGACCCTGCAAGTGTGTCATCTGCTAGAAAAGAAAGGTGGTGGCGCTAATTTAGTTTTCAACCAGCGATGGTCAGAAGTTGTGTCAGATATTTAGAAATTTTTCTGGAGTTATCGGAGTCTACCATGTCTACTGGCAGGCATGTAGGCCTAGACATACTTTTTTGTGAACAAGGTACATGTATGTTGCTACCTGCGTGATAGGCTCGATTTCTGGCTCAACTCTTTGCAGAAGCTTGAAAATCCCATTTCGTATGAATCTGTAGCACTGATATATCTCTTCCTCCGTCAGAGAATCTAAGGGATTCTTTCTGTCTTAAAATATTCTTTCTCTTCTATTAAAGAGCTCGTCTAACCTCGAATTTAGCAAGAAGCATAAGTGCCATTGCTAAAATAATTCTACTATGGTCCAAAGTCGTGAGTTACGATGACCCAATGACTCATCTTAACTTACGTGTTGCTAGGGAACTTACGATGGGCCGGCATACAAATTTGCTTGAACTTCAAATGGCATAAGCATCAAAGCCGTACTGTATGTACATGTAGTTGGATTCAGATGAAACTGATGTGAATGTCTTTGTGTGCATGCCAAGTTCAAAAGTTCAGACATTGTACAACCGAATATGGGGGGGGGGGGGAAGAATCTGTCCCTCCCAGGCTGTGAGATGGTCTGAAAAACCCAGCTCTTTTAGGGTTGAATAAGACAATGTCTGAAAGTTGCGGTTACAGCCTGGCGCAAGACTGCGCCTATGGGAGTCATAGACTAGCACCTACGGTTACTTCCCAAAGACTCTTATGTTACTGGCAGCAAGCCCTTTGATTCAGACACAAGACCAAGCAGACCCTGAGACTAGGCAACAAAGAGTTGAATCATTGACTGGCTAGTCTCAGACTCTCAACACAGAGAGAGACAGAGAAAGGCAATGTAATTTACCTTGTGATGATAGTACTTCCAGCGCCTTCATCATGGCAGATGCAAAATTCTCGGCATCTTCCGCGCTCTGAAAATTCAGCCCATACACCTGCCGGCTGTCCCGCCATTGGTGGAATGTGGGCGTGGCCTGGTTGTACTTCAGCCCCTTCAAGATGGCACAATTGATGACGACCTGGGTTAAGGGGTTAAACAACAAAGATGCAGATGCATTACAAATGGGGTTGCTGTTTTTCATTTGCAATCTCCGTTCCTCACTGCTCAGGTGTACAAGAAAGCTGTTCCATGTATCATGTGCACCTGAGAACACAAGATGTCCACACAATGTAAGTTTACAGTAAGACATTGTTGTGTGGACCTGCCCAGGCCAACGTAACGTTTTCCCCCCTCTGAAAAACAGGGTTAGAGGAACTTAGGGGTTGTGGTTACTTGTAGCAAAAGGAAGAGGAACACTGAAGGAAACTATCTACAAAAATCCAGCTTATGAAAACTTACAGTGTCATGAAAATGGGTATTTTCAACACTTTTTTCAACATGTAACTACATAAAAACAAAGGAATTTCCAAATACATGTAGCATGTACATGTCAATACTTGTGCACAGTGCCAAAACTTTTTTACCCTAACCCAGGGGTATATTTGCCAGCAAACATTTTTCACCAAACTGACAGCACATTCATTTAAGGAAAGTCAAACTCGGCCCCATGTAAACATAACGGAGGTGGGGCACCTGATAGTTCCAACTTGACTTCATGAGAATAATGGAGAGCCTGGGGGTGGCTTTTAGAATGTTGATGGATTCGGGCTAGTTAGTACTACTTCATAAATATGTCCCTTCTCAAGTTGAGAAGTGTTCACAGCTGATACCAATACGGGCGATTCACAATAGTGCACCACCAAGAGTTTGCAACGTGTTAGCCAATCATAACGCGTCAAATTTGTCGACCCTTTCCAAACGCGCTTCAAGTCGACAAATTTTGCGCATTGTGATTGGCCAACGCGTTGCAAACTCTTGAGGGCGCACTATTGTGAAACGGCCGTATTCATCAGGACTCTTATCTCTTCAATGCTGATAATTACTGAATGATGGACACATAACAGTACATGTACACGTACACTCCCCATCAGTGAAAAAAAATAACTCTGATTCAATGACTGCTGTTCACACCCTTTGCATTTAGTCTTCAATCAAGAACACAAATGTAATATAGATCCATCATGTTAATTGATTGGTATCCATGGCAATAAGTACGCCTGCATAAATAAACAGGAATATAAAAGAAAGTTGGCCAAAACGAACCTGTACAATTGTGTCATTCTAGAATCTAGTCTAGCTTTTCAACATTAGAGGATCTACCGCACATATACATATGCCATTAGTGTCGTGAGCTATAAATGCAAGGAAAAACCGAGAAGACTGGGAAATTGAAAATAAAATATGTCAGCACAGTGCTGAATTAGATTACAAAAGCACTAACTTACTGTGAAAAGTGAAGCCTGCTGGACATACCTATCATTGAGTACGGGGAAACTCAGAATTTTGCAGTGCTTTTGTATGGCTAATCTGCACATCTGCATATGTATCCTAAACTCATGTGCCAAAGCAATTACCCCCAAACCTACATGTAAACGCACAGTAACCAGATTAGAATTTCATTTTGCTGTGTAAATGACGCAAACATGTGTGTATGCATGTACACGTACATGTATGTTCTGCCGATGAATTTTGCAGAGACTTAAATGCGTACTTTTGTGGACAGAACATGCACCTGTGTATTTGCTGTACGTGCACATGTACATGTATGTTGCATGAGCTCCACTTGCAGATTGCATTTAGAGTACATCATTCCGAAATTGTTCAGTTTCATCATGTCCACTGCGTTCTTAAAACACACAAATGAATTCAAAATGTCCACTCAGGACGGTGTCAAACTTCATTCGGTGCTGAGGGAAAAAGAAATCACCCCGTGGGCCTGTGGCCAGCAGTTTGTACCTATCACAGGGCGGACTTAATCTGTGGTCCACTTGCAAGGATTACAAGGTCTGAGTAACCTTGTAATGAGACAGATAATGGATCCAAAATGAAAGACAAAAGAGGGTGTCGGGGGGGGGGGGGAACAGGGCAACGTCACCTTAATGTGAATTTGATATGACATCCTAACTAACTAGAATAGTGCCTAAGAGAGACCCTTCATTCCTAGATACTGCATCAGACAAGACAGTGAACTTCTGATGTACATGTGTAATTGATAAGACAGTCAAGGTACATGTAAGTGCAGCATTGACAGTTTCCTCCCACTGATCATGTAATTATTTACTAAACGACAAATAATCTCTGGAATGAATGGTATGCCGTGCTATTCTGTACATTCACCTTTGCATGATAAACTTTCTGATTCCTTGTAAACTTTCTATTTTTTTTTCCATGAAAGACACCTGAGCCAGGTTGCGACTACCAGATTCCAAATTTATGACGCAAATATTGCTTTGGGAATAAAATATCTTTGGAATTATGAGAAGAAACAGAAAAAGATGCAATGCGCTGGGCAGGCAACCCAGAGGATGCTTTTCCCCATCCTCACCGGATCCAGACATACAGTCTCCACCTGTCACTCATCGCCGATGACTGGACGCTGTGGGATGATTTGCTCCATTGATCCATCGTCTCCTGGATGAGACGAGAGTGAGTAGTCAGTAACCCAAGAGTTACCTCTGGAGCAATTAAAGTGTGCTGCTTAGGATGAAGAGGAGCCAACATCAAATACCAGCAGATACCGTGGACAGTCTTGGGCTGGAGGTGTTTGTTACATGCAGGACCTGGCCTGGCTTGAAACAGGGACTTCTGATGAAATATTTTTTTTCTCCCAAAAGGGTACATGTTTGTGAAGTTTTGACTGGATAAAAAGCATTTTTCCACCTTAATTTTTTTGAACAGAAGAAGACGAACATGTCACATCATGCAAAGGACACATGAATGTGAAGTACAGCATATTTCTAACAACTATTCTAATAGTAACAGCACGATAACAATTGCGTGTTCCCAGTGTATTTTAAGGGAGTGATACAATTCAATATTTCAGAGGGCAGCCAGTGCAACATCGAAATGGACGATTAAATCTGGTCATATCCATGTATTTTGGTGTTTCATTCCCCCCCCCCAAGTAAGATATGCATATACTGTTTAAATTTTCTTTTAGATTTAAATAAAAGTTAATTATGATTTTGATACAAAAATGAGCCAAGGTGTATCACCTTACCTCACCAGCACAAATGTCGGTTAACAATGTGCCTGCTGGAATCTTTGCTTCTGAGCAAGAATGGAATAACCTCTCATTTACTAGGGGCAGAGCCAAGGTCTACCGTGATGACGGACCACTGAGAATAAACTGTCCAAAACTGCCTTCAACTTGGCAGTTGACAAAGGTGGTCATTACTAATAAAAATGGAGTAACGTTCGAGAATAGAAAAAAACAACCAACCTTTCCTGATGACAGGGCAAATTCAATTACTGTATATACATGTATACCTGGTACATGCATACATGTGCACGTACCTTAACCCTAACAGTCCTCAGTCCTCCAACAGGTGAAGGATTGAGGAGGGTTAGGGTTAAAATTAGTTTGATTTAAGAGCTCAAAGTCTCTGTGTCTTTATACAATCCATTTTCTGAAATTACATTTCACCCAATTCTGCCTAGATGTCACCAGATATGATTCGAGACAAAATTGTCTGTATGATAAAACTTGCGATTAAAAAAAAACACCACAAACATGTACATGTGCTTAACCCAACGATGTTCAGTCGCTTGTCAAAAATAACGCAAACCTGAAAATAAAGAAAATAAAATCAACCGGACTCAATTTCCCGTATACCTTAACAAATCTGAACAGGAATCCAAAATGGCATGTGACCCTTGTAGTTACTGTATACATGTGCCATACGATCTAGAGATTTTCTGCATGCTACAGTACATTGTCCCTTAGGGCAACACGCATACATAACAACCCCAAGCTAGACAGCTCCATTTAAGGACACCCTCTAAATCAAATGAATTCTCAATGCAGGGAGCACACTCATTAATGAAGAGGATTGTTGTGTTGCTCCTCAAGGGGAACCTCCATGGTGTGTTCATACATATACGTGGATAGCTAGCGATACAGCACCACACAGTCATTAATATTGCAATCTGTGAGTCACTTCAATTAAGTGACTTCACAATGGCAAAACGAATGCTTGAGTTGTCCCCAACTCAAGTACACTCAGGTACACGGACTCACCCAGGAATGTAGGGGAAAAAAGAATATATATGTATGTGGGAGCATTGTTTTATGCTACCAACAAAAACTAAAAAAGTGTGAATGCAACACACTCCTTTTCTTGTCAGACAGTTCAAACTTGCTGGAAGTGTTTCCAAGCGGAGGATATTATCCTGTTGATTATCTTAAATGGAATTTGCAATACTTTCTTCTGGGGAAAAAGTATAAATGTTCATAAGTGTACATTTTCGCGATTGTAACTAACTGTTTGGCCAGTTGAAAAGCCTTCCCATGGCAAGGGTTATGGCTATGAAGTAAAAGATTAGGTTACGGTTTACATCCGGTAGGGTTATGGTGGGATTTGGGGTTAGGGTGGGGTTTTGGAATAAGGTAACTCACTGACACACCAGGTGACAAGTTTTCCACACAGTAAAAAGTATCAATGTTGTTATGGTACATGTACAGTTCAGGTTAGGTTTTAGTGTTAGGCTGAGGGTTAGGATAACTCACTGATTGGTCAGTTGTAAGCCTTCCCACCACACGGAATGTTTGGTTGACTGAATGCTGGTAGATGTGCACCCTTGACATGCCCTGGCCACCGGAGGCAACCCACTTCTTCTGGGCATCATCGTATAGCATCACCGAGGCGTAGGCCTGGCAAATGGACTTCTCAACACTGCAGCGGGGAGACAAAACAAAGTATGTTCCAAACTTTAACAGAAGCAAATGGGACTGAAGTTGGCATCACCTCAACGTTTTCCTGGAAAGATGGAATCTGTGGTTCCTTGCATAAAGATGTCACTTATCATGGCTCGCAAGCCCAAGGGAACAAACATGTAGGGACAGAGGATGATGACAAATGATTAATTCCAGAGAGTTTGGGGCAGGGTTCCCCCCCCAGCCTAATCAATTGTGAGGCGGCCCACCTCACTGAGTTTAGTGACCACCTCAGGCTTTTCTGTTGAATTTTACCACCTCACACTTAAAATAGACAAAGATGGAAGGCAAAAGAACGTAGATATCTTCAAATAGATCAGTTTCAAATTGTTCAGAATGATAAAGAGGGACTCAGAATACAAGATTGATTTATTTACAGTAAATGTACCATTATACCATATACAATTTATTTCAGACCTTTTTGAAAACACTTGTTGCTAATTCAGGCTCTAGAATTTTGGAAAAAATTTGTTTGACCATCTCAAACATATCAGTCCCGTGGGAGAAAACCTGGTTTGGGGGAAGACCTGGAAAAGATCCTCTGAAATAAACACCTCTTTTATCAACCAACAACTAAAACCTAATCTATTGAATACAGAGCATACCGGTATTACTTGACAATCAATGAAATGGGTTCGGATACATTTCAGATACTGGACAAATTCCCTTATGAGACACATGACCGTAGTTGGCTACCAGACCTAAGATCTCTCAAATTAGTCAAGATCTTTTGGTCTGGGAACCACATTACAATATCTATACATGTTAGAGGTACACATACACGTACACATTCTGTAGCATACGTTCTGTGGTACGATCTGAGGCAATTTCTGATTGCTTTACCCATTTTTAAAATTTTTCTCTAAAGCGATTTTGGGCATCGTATTCAACTACAGGGAGTCCCAGAATGACACTTTACAAATATGGATAAATCATGTAATTTGCATTAATGTTACGTAAAGACGTCAAATTGGGAGTGGCATTAGGGTAAAGTTTTTTTCTGGAGCACTCTGTAGCAATTATGAACTCTAAGATAAGATGTACAAATACATGTCAACCTTCCATTTCTATTCAGCAACAAAATATATGTGCTTGTTTGTGTGTGGGTGAGGGATATAGTATCCCCACTTAAAGGCGAATTCCATTAATTGACACAATTTATGTGTAAAAACGGGATCCAAAAATATTTCAATTTTTTTTTTCCAAAATGGTTAAAAGAGTATAAAAATAACATAGTATAAAAACAGAAAATGCATCATAAAATTTATTGTTGTTTATTTTGTATAGCAACACTAAACACAATAGGGTCATCTGACTGGGGAATTCAGAGCAATATCACCATGACATTTGAAAATTGTAGAAATGTTTCTTGGAACTGGCAATTCAGGGGGAAAAATGGTGATTCCCACAGAGAGAACAAGACAGTAATCTCTTCCACATCCGGAATGAATTCAGCCTAAGCTTCCTGTTGAGGAAGCTTAGGCTGAATTGTCCTCTTTTGTTCATACTTCTTCAAGGCCTCTGATACGTTTTGTACACGTTTGGCAATCGTGGACGTATCGGGCATCGTGGACAGTCATTAATTCTGTTGTTTAACGTCCACGATTGTTTGGGAATATCAGTGCATGTATACATGTACATGCTAAGTGTACAACACATCTTTTTTTTACACCGTACAATTATTTTGAAATCAACCACAAAACAGACCAACCTCAGCAATGCAATGTACTGGTGCAAATTGTTCTACACAAATCCAGTGCTAAAAGAGATTTTACTGCTTGATACTCTTACAGGTGCATACACCGGTAAGTGACATGTACAGTATATTTCGGAATGGAAAGAAGCCACAAATTAGACGTACCAGTAAACTGCAGCACTAGCAGCATTACTGTAGGAAAAACAATGACATTTCTCTACTACTGTACATGTACATGTACCAGTAAATGCACTACACAATACAACAGAGTGGTCTACAAAAACCACTGATTGAACAATGAAAACTAATGGCCATCTCTGTCCAACATGTGTCCAATCTCTCATTGTACATGTGTAGGTGTGCTGCATGTTCATGTATCTCCAACTTTTATCATCTGAACTTACTCTTCAATCAGAATTACATTTGTCCGAGTTCATTTACCTTATACAATGAGTGGTACACCACACATTCCACTGCATAATGTACATGTATCATCACCACGTGCACACAATACTCTAAACATCCTTGCACGTTGACAAAAATAAGGACCTTGGATTCTTTCAACTCCGGTGAGCAATGTTGTGACAATAACTACATGTACATGTAGTATGTATTACAAAAGATGGGTTTTATCTGCCATTCTTCGTCAGTTTGATAAGGATTTAAATACTGGCTTTAGTCTTTCCTTTCATGGACCTACGGTAAGTCTAAAGGAAAAATCAATAGTACACTGAATGTACACTGTATCCAATCACATGTAATGCGCAAAATATCATAGTAGAAAGACATGGTATGTTGGTTTTAGAAAATGTACTGAATACTGAAAATCTCGCCCTCTCCCCCAAAAAATAAAAAAGGGAATGTTCAGCACCAAGCCCATTGCAAGGATTGTGGTTTTTTATTTTCTCAAAAATGAAAATTAAATTAGGACAAAATTCATTTCTGTTCAACCCTTAGAGCCAGAGTCATCTCAGTCCTCGACTTAGTCTGGGTCTTCTAGGTCAAAGTCAAGGTAGAGGTCAAAGGTCAGTGTCTGCACAAACTTCTGACCTCAGCTGGCTACAATAGCCAAAAACAAAATCAGTCCAACTGTGAGTCCCAAGACAGAAGTCTGCTTCCAAATGCGCTAATGAGCTTTAAAATAACAAACATATTTTGTGGAGACCCTTCAGGGCTGTGATATCGGTGTCTCACTGCCCATGCATGTGTGGAATGCTGGATGTCTGCACCAAACTTGCAGTTGGGTGACTGCATTGCTTGGACTTCCTGTCAGAGACATCCAGTCATTCACATATCAGCTTCTCAACCTTTACTGTCTGCATTACGAAATTCACATATACATTACATGTACATGTACACTGTACTAGTAATTTGGGAGGTTCTTCCTGAACAGTAATATGTCTGTTCTAAATACCTGTATTATATACAAGCAGCACATGTACATGTGTGTGCAGTAGTTCTTCTTTTCATCTAGAAGCCCCACAAGGTCAAGCATTTGATAATAGGTGAATTTTTTTTTTAAAAAAGTGGTTTTCTCTCCGATTCAATATTAGTCTTGGTCAATAAGTGCACATTTTCAGCAATCTTTCGTTACTTGTGAACAGGGGACAAAGTTTAAGACAATATGATGAGGCTGTGCTTAAGTTTCGCCACTTGCCAAATTTGCTTGTCACGCAAATCATTCCTCGTGTACAACTGATTTATTAACAGTGCATTTTGAAAATCATCATAATCAAATTATTATAATGAAATTCTGAGCATTTTTGTTTCATAAACTGATAAACTACATGTACACTCACTGCCAAGATTACCAGTGATTTCAAAGCAGAATTTTGCAAAAAAAAAAAAAATTCTCAGCCTTTTCTCCTTAGGAATCACCATGTCAGGACATTGCTGCGATTCTAATGTCTGATTCACATGTGAACATTCTTGGGGAGGGTTTCTTTTAAGACAATACCAGGCAAGATATGGGACGGAGGGGTACCCCCCCTTACCTGTCCAATCCCTATACACACTGTAGACTATTGTTACCTAACACATCCCCCCAAGTAGTGTGTAAAGAATTCCAGAGATTCCGATCCAACAATGACCAACACAAAGGCGGGGGGGGGTTCTCTACGTCCCATATCTTGCTTCAAATGTTTAAGACTGGTTTTGACAGACCAAGCACGTACATCAATGCCCTATGGATGACCTTTCCTTGTTTGATTTCTCTGTGATTCCATACAAAGGAGCACCAACAGGTGACACTGACCATGGTATATTTTACATACATGTGTGTATAACACATACACTTACATATACCTGTGCATTTCACTTCGCATATTTCACTTTATGACGAGGGACAGAAAGGATGTTTTCCTGTCCTTCACAGTCAGTGGTCAACAGTCCTGGGTAATACACGCATACCTGTACTATGGTTAGTTCATGAGAGTGTGCTTATTAGAGAAAACACATAACCACATTCATGCAGTGGCATGGCAAAACCCTTGTGTGAAATGTGCATGTGCCTTAGAAGTATAGTACATGTACAGTGTACATGTACATACACTGTACAATGCATGCACCAGTATCCCACCAAGGAATTTTGCATAGGCCTATCGGTACATATTATTTCACAAACTAGTAATTACTGTACATACAGGCACGTTTATTTGAACTTTTATTTAGCTGTAAGGCTGAAATTGTGAATAATGTAAACAACTAAAAAAAGATCAAAAACAGACAGTAGAGAAATAAACAACACAAAATAAACTCTCAAATTCTTAAAAAGCTCACAAAAGGAAATACATTCTAAGTACAAAAAGGGAACTGTAAAATAAGTAAATTGAGCATAATTTCGCGAAAGCATATTTTAAAAATATGCAAAAACTTCCACAGAATGTATAATCAAGTCCATTACAATTAATATCCTTACACCACATGGACTTGACCACAAAGATAGATTTTGGTAAATAGAATTTGATTCACACGATATCATGTGCACTGGCACATCACCTGTAATTATGTGTAATGTTCACTCTACAGAAATACTGTTCATGTATACATGTACATGCAGTATGCATCAACCCATCGATGAGCACAGGTGTACTAGCATAACCACACTTCTGCCGTTTTCCCACAGAGAGTTTATTGATTGATTTCTGTGTTACATATGCACATTGTGCGTTTGTACGTAGATGTAAGCTTGACAGAGCGGGGATTTGTTTGCTTGTAAAATCACAACCGTGATTAGTAGGCTACTGCAACGTGTGCATTTCACTGTATGGGAAATTGTATCTAGAGTAAAAAAGTTTTGATATCTAAACAATGCTTGGATAAATCCCATCATATGATTAGCGGATAACTGATCACGTACCATTGAATTCCTGGTATTTAATTTGTCCCAATGTACAGCGTGGCCACACCACAAACACAGAAGTTCCATTTTAACATAGTACATGTACATAAAAAATGGAAGTTCCATTGCTCCCTCACAAGCAGTTTCTTAGCTCTTACGCTGTGGGTGTGAATTACTCAAGGCAAGGATTTATTCAGGCATGGATTTACCCAGATTTATGAAGGTGATGAATGGATTTATTCAGGTACATGTATTGTGTCAACAGACTGGAGAACATTTAACATTGAGGAAATGGTTTTACCTCCTGGAATGGAATAAACATTCCATCAAAATCATTCTTTAATGAGTACTAAAGACCTGAGGATGGGCAAGGTTTCTGCTGCTTTAAACCCAAAAGGCCCAGCAACTTTTGTTCCACTCCCAATTCTGCGCAAACATCAGTGATAATTTCTGCCCCAATTTACATGTCCATGTACATGTAGGTCCAACCTGAAAATACATGTTCATGTAGTTATCCCAGACCATCCCAGCATGATACATGGGACAATCTAATAATGCTCAACCTGAACTGAAGAAAAAAAAAATAAAAATAACACAATAAAAATAAGCCAAGAGATTCAACCACAGCAATACTTCACCAACCAACTTAATAAACCAGCCAATGTGTAATACTGTAGTTAGTTTCAGAAAAGCTGTATTTTTGTATTAGGCACTGTCACTTTACATGACAACCAGAACTTTTTCATGTGCATGTAGTGCTGTCAGCTTTGCCCTGTCAGTTTTGCTTAGAATGAATTTTGACCAAAAATGGAATGGATAATTGATTGTTGGTGTATTTATTGTTCATTCCTGAATTTTCGTATTCCCAACCCAGCAGTGGACATTGCTGAAATGCCATCCAATGCTTGGAAGGTGAGGTCATGTGGTGCTTGTGCTTGAGAAGAGTAACAAATGTAAGCTGATCAATCCGCTCCGAGCAGGAACAAAAGAGGGCGTGTTTTGAAATGAAATTGACAGTCCTTCAGTACTCACGCACCGCATAGGTTTGCAAGTTTATGCGCATTTGACGCAGAGCATGCTGAGTACAAGAACAATTTTAGTCTAGAATGTGTGGTCTTTGTGTGCACGCCGAATGCGTGCTAGAACCCGGTTGGAAAACTTAGTATCATCTGTCTTTCTTTGGCCAGTGAGGGTGCACTTCAGCTCGGGGGGGAGGGTACTAAACTTGAGGGGGAGGGTACTAAACTTGAGGTGAAGTTGTATTGGTCACATGATTTTTACCTGTGTACTTTGCAAACACAAAAGAAAATTTAAAAAAATTTAAAAAGTCCAGGGAATGTCCGGTTCATAAGTAACCACGCCCACTGCACATGCACTGCACATAGAGCTACATGCACTGATCACCATTTACGTGAAACCATGGAACCGGTAGTTAACGCGCAACTTCAGCGATCGTCCAATGGCAGCCTGCAAATCGTGGTGCGTCCACCTTTGTGACAAATTCACTTACAAACTGGGTACTGATAATTTGGATTGTTTAGTGGTTGCAACTGCACATTTGTACACGTACGTGCTATATGATGTATGTATGTAAATGGAATCATCTGCTACACATGTGCAATACTTCCATCATGCTTAGTTACACGTACCAATTCTGAAGCTGGATTATCACTCATAACTGCAGTTCCAAATGGGGAGACACCCCCTTCCCCGAACAAAGAAAGAAAAGAAAATAGATATCAGGGGTGTGGGAAGAAAAAGACACAGGAACAGGTTTGTGGTTTCCATCTGATTCCAGATTGATCAGAATAAACAGGATTTCAGAAAACAGGAAAGCAGTCTATCAACAGGGAAAGTCCCATTTCAGCACCCGTTTTCAACTTCTTTCACTATTTTCACTACTAACCAAATGCGATCAGTATGCATACGAACAGTAAACAGTCCAATAACACGAATCCCCGGATGCGTCCATGTGATGCAGAAACTTCTTAATAACGACAAATGCTTTGAACTGCTAACGTCAGTGTGCTAAGTTTGCAAATGCTGAAGTTGCTCAAGGGAATTTGCCACATGTCCTGTAAAAGTACATGTACACATACTGAGATAGCAGAAGGGTTAGAGGGAGATGTTCATAGACGGTACATTCGTTGTAATTCGTTGCTGTTGACTGACATCTGCAACACCCCAAAGATCCGTTCTGGAGTGTGGCATGTGAAGGCATACATATATATCTGGTAGATGTACATGTATCTTTGGTTCACCTTTGGTTTTTTTTTTATGTTGCCAGGTCTATACTGATGGCTTTAAACTGTGCTTCCTTTATAAATTTACATGTATACGGTATAGGGGACCTAAAAAACCTTTGATGTCATACCACAACTCATGTAACAGGATGTAAGTGTGAAGATATTTGAAAAACACAGGTTACGGAGGTTGCCCTGTTATAACATTATAGAAAATGTGTGTAAGGTGAATCCATCCCAAAACCAACCTGTGTTCCCACCTGGCCCAACCCGCAAAAAGAAAAGCACAATACAAACCAACCTCAAATCAAACCAATGGGTACTGCAGTAATAATGCACCATTGTTTTGGTCTGTTTTGTTTGCTTTATTGTGCTTTCTGTTGGGTTACTGAGATACGGTAGCTTAACTGAGCTGACCCCAAAATAACTAATGCAAAAACACGATGGACCTTATGATGGAAAAACCAACCCAATCTAAAATTGGTTTCACGTCCGGCTGGGTTTGCAGAACATTAATAGAATCCGTGGGCTGTAGTCTCTGCAGTAAAAAGTGTAAATCAGCCCCACTGTACTATTTTTGGACCAACTTGCGTTCATCCTTCAATAACGTTCTAGTAGGATTACCACCTGTTAATCACACACCAGACTTTGTACTAAGGTGTTGCCACTTGTTACAGGGTCAATACCAATTACTCAACTGTACACAGGATTTGTTCCACTTGGACTAGTACTTGATGGAGCGGAATAATAAAATGATAACAGTAGAGCAGCACCTGACTAGAATGGAGGTCACATGGGATTCCTGGCTCTATGCACATGTGGATTGTATGATTCATGCCCCAGGAGTACTTGTATGGATTATTTGGCTGTGGGTGCAGTCATCTGTGCCTTCTCATCCACTTGGCAAATTCTGAACTTCTACCGAGAATATAGATTAATCTGGATTTTTGTTTGTTTGTAACATTTGTTTTGTTGATTTGTGCTCTTTCTTGCTCCATTCTTTTCATTTCTCATCGTGCCAACGCATAGTACATCTACATGTACCAATATACAACACATACACGGGCAGGAGAAATCTCTTGGGAAAGTTATGACCAAGTTGTGTCCTCCTAACCCAATAACGATACATGAATGTACACTTCACTTGTGCCATGACTTGTATTTGTATGTGTACTCATGACAAGATTTAAATCATGTGTGGATCACGCTCAGGCTTAAAGCTTCATAACGTACGGTACATGTACATACATGTATGGTGCCAGTCCAGCAGACACCATGTATGCATACAGTGTACTGTACATGTACATGTACATGTATGTATGTTAAATTAAACATGTACATGTGTACATGTGCATGGTACCATAGCAAGAAGTCTGACAAAATGTCAGTTGTACTTTTTTAGGGTCACTGCTATGACTGTAAAACTTTTGAAAGTGCAAGCTTTACTTACATGCATGTAAGTTTCACATTAATTAAACTTTCAGAAACCTAACAACAATGCACATCTACCAGGTACGGTACACCGTACATGTAAATGGCACACATTGAAGGAATGACAGACTCGCTGTGACAGAATATTCAGGTATCAAACAGAAATATGGTTATGGATTTTCAACACACTGGACAGACATTTACCTGTCTCTTGCACTACATGCCAGCAGCCATATTGAAGTTGAACAAAATGAAAATTGTCATGTACATGCAACAACTCTAAAAACATTTTGTAAATGAATTCTCTATGTTACGTTCATTCGTACTGAATAATTATGTACTTTTAAATACGAATTTTGTTGAATATCATTGGTACAATGTACTTGTACCAAGTAGATAATATTACTTGCATTTTCAAGCATGAGTACATGTATACATGTACCGGTGCGTTTCACGCGCCAGTGTGTTAGTATTCAATGATTTCAAAATGCTCCCAGTTCAACATGAATCACTATCCTGGGCTGAAGTTTCGACTGAATGTCCTTCATATAAAACACTTCAATTTGAAAACGATTTGTACACGTTGAAAATTTGTCCATTTTGAGTGAAATGAACAAAGCCACGTCTCCACAAAGCCTACCAATTCTGGTGTGTGTGTGCACGTTCATGTACATGTAATACATTGCACACTCCCACAAACTTCAAAGGAAGTGAATGTGTACATTAAAGAAGCACAAAAATAAACTTCGCTCACAAAACAAAAACACTCATAAAGGAAGTATCAATGTAAAAACTTTCACTCCGAATTTCAATGGAAAACGACTTGTAAGTTAACCAGAAACCTGAAAGCATGTGCATAAGCAGAAAATACACAAACATGTAAGTTTGCAAAGTCTCTCGCACAGGGCAAGTCGTTCATTAATTCAATAACAACCCAAATTCTTCAAGATTTGATTTACTTTTGCAGTAGTTACATGTAGTTGTAGTCCAATTTCTGTTTACAAATACCTGGGTACATGTCCATGCAAAGTACCGGTTACATGTACCGGTATTTGTGCAGTACAAGTGCTTGAACAACAAATGTAAAACTGGTTCCCATACAATGTACTACATGTATACATGTCCTTGACACTGATTTTACTGTCGGTGAATATAGGAATTTCATTTCAAAAATACCAAGTCAACACATGTACACTTCAGCAGTATTGCTGTTACCTGTACCCTGGTTCTGTTGGATCCCGTCCATAGGCATTTGGTTTTGTGGAGCTTACATATGGTGACAAGTATGTATCCTCGTCCACGACTTTTGCTTTGGGAATTTCCGGCAGGGGTAAATCCGGTGGCTTGAGCATTCGCCGGCGTGGGGGCACGCACGGCGGCGAGTGCTTGTGCAACTCTCGCCCAGACCTTCCTTCCTGACTTGCGATTCGGCCGGCTGGTCTGCTGTAATTCCTCCTGCTGCTGCTGCTGTCGTTGCTGCCACTGTCATGACCCCAGCCTAAGCTGAACTCTATAGTGATCTCAGCATTCCATTCAGACATGTTGGACTCTCTTGGTTGACCAACTTGCCTCTAATTGCAGTTCTAATTACCAACATCCTGGGATCCAAGGAAATGTATCTGTCAAAAACCAAACTCGTGGCCAAATCCCAGTTTACATGATCAAACAACCTGAAGGATATTTGAAACATGAACGACTCACAAGGTGAGGGCCACACTGTGGTAACGTCTCACCCTCGATTGAGAACATTTGGAAGATGAAATAAAAGTCAGAAGACGGCAGACTGTGACACTTCCTGCCTTTGTCACGGCAAGAGGATCAACTCTCAATGTATTACAGTTCCTAAGTAGAGCCCTATTCTTGGGAAGTGTCTCATCAGGACAGCGTAATTACATTTCTGCTGCATTTGGCTCAGAGTCTAGGGAGTTGAACCCATTAACGGCTCATTGGTTAACACCTGATAAGTTTAATTTGAAATGTTTCCTGAGTGGATCTTCAAAACGGCCCATGATGAAGTTACATGAAGAAAGATATTTCCTTAGAATGTACGTACATTGTACACACATGTACATGTACATGCTCAGCCATACACTGCACATGTTCTGGTTGGTACATGTACATGCACATGTATCAGTGCCTGTATCTTCAATCTTACAATCACACATGGAATACAGTTGACATGCTTGTAACCTTACAAAGAGACACAAGTTTTATTATATGATTGTTATTCAAACAATTCGTTGCATAACTGACGAACCGACGAGTATGAAATATCATCGTTTTCGAGAAAAACATGTTTTCAGTTAAGCAGTTATTGCGTGCTCGCTTTTGATATTTAATTCAACCCTTTTTTGACCTCCGTGTATACAAGATACAAAATTGATCTTTGAAATCATTTCCTACTTTGTATTTTTGGCTCTATGAGCAATACTTTGAATACTGCTGTCCAACCTATTTGTCAGTTTGTGAGATCAAATCTGAAAATCACCAGAATGGTTGGTTCACCTGTTGGTCAGATATACATGTATGATGAATTACTGTTTGACAAGTCTTCAGGATTGTGGCAGCATGCTGTGTGATCATCTGCAAAGCTCATATTGCTTTTTTAACAATACTTGAGCAAAGAACTCTTGAGAATGAGATTGGAGCTTTCCACCTACAGGACACTACCAATATGTCCTGTTCGCACCTACTGACATCTGCCTTCAGTTTTTCATATTTTGGGTACTCAGACTATTTAACAAATGTGTATGACAATCTGGTTCATATGTGACCTCATCACAAAGGCGAACGTGCCACGATTTGCAGGCTCCCATTGGATGATCGCTGAAGTTGTGCGTTAACTTCCGGTTCCATGGTCCCATGTAAACGGCGATCAATGCATGTAACCCTATGTGCAGTGCATGTATGCAGTGGGCATGGTTTAAACTGAAGTGACGTCACACTTAGGAACCGGATACTGATGAGGAAACAGGAAAAAAGTAGTCACATTTGAAAAACAGCCACGTGCCTGGATTCCATGTCAGTGTACCACTATGGTTATACAGCACAGTAGTATCAGTTTTCATTGACTTACATGTACTGGATTTCAGAAGTGAGTTTTCTTCTGCAAATTTGTGAACATGCATGGGTTCAAACTTACAAAATCAACCACAAAGCAAGACATACGTACACGTACACTGTAAACTACTGGTACATGTTACTTTGCAATGTATGAAACTACCATTTCCACAAGGACGCACGGGATGCCTGTTGGTCTCAGGTCAAGAAGGCAGACTTCAAATAATCTGCTGGGTATCAGCAGTGACTCATGGCCCACCAGCTGCGATGGATGGAGCCAAATGTTTCCATCAATCACAGACATTTATGGAAAACACCTCATAAATTTGAAACACTCATCATAAAATATTAAAAAAACCACTCCAAAGTTCAAATACCATACAGGGCACAAAGATTCCAATGCCAAGTTGTTGTTTGGATAAGTCTGCTATTTTTAAAATACATACCTACTCTACACTTTGTACGGTCCGTTTCGCCACTGCTTACAATGGACAGACAGAAACACCCAACCTACATGTACGTCTAAACCTTGCTACTGGTACTGGTAGGTTAGGTTTCGAAACCTTAAACCAAATTCTGAGTGCC